ATTTTATTTATTTATTTGAGACAGAGAGAATGAGAGACAGAGAGCATGAGAAGGAGGAGGGTCAGAGGGAGAAGCAGACTCCCTGCCGAGCAGGGAACCTGATGCGGGACTCGATCCTGGGACTCCAGGATCATGACCTGAGCCGAAGGCAGTTGCTTAACCAACTGAGCCACCCAGGCGCCCCGAGCTTTGATTTGTTAAGAAATATTTGTATAGGTTTTTTTTTTCTCTCATAATTGCAGGTAGATAGTTTTGATGCTTAATATGAAAAGTCAGAGAGGTGGCGTACTTTGGGGGAGGCAGTGAGTGCTGTGAGGTGGAGCTGGGAGCTGTGGAGTCAGAGCCTGAGAGAAGGTTAGAAACCCCTGCACTGTGGACTGTATCCTTGCACATCAGGAATGTCACATGCCTCTCACTTTGTAAGTTTCTTTGGTAAGTTTTCTGAAGGATGTTGGCAGTCTGTAAAGAATAAGAAGACTCCACAGATCACCTTTCCCATTCTCTTTGCAGTTGGGAGGTGTGGTCGGCCTTGCTTGTTAGTTTGAAAGGATGAAAGCAATTAAACTCTATATCCGTACTTTAGCAGATCATCAACTACTTCTTGAAAAAATTGTCAGATACCTGAGTTGAAATTTGAATAGGCACAGCATTTCCTGAGCATTAACAGCTGTACGGAAGGGTTGTTTTAAGGGTGTGTGTCATATAATTCTTTGAGGAGAGGTCAGAAGTGAAGCAAGAACTGTCCTGGTCACAAGATAGTGAAATCCGCTCTGCGTGTGGCTCCAGGTTCTCTGATGCACTGGGTATTTGCAATGGGTTGTGATCGGTCAAGCCTCGACAGTCTTTTTAATTAGGTTGAACCATGAAATTGCCAGCGTGTGGCCATTGGGCCTAACGGAAATGAGTTTCGTATGGTTCAAGCTAAGACAGCCCACAGCCGCTCCTGCACTTATGTATATTGTAGAATAAGCTGGGTTTGGTTATGACAGTTCAAGAGTAAGCGTCATTTTCTTGCTCCGAGATCCTCACACACGAGTGAATTTTAACCAGCCTTCTGAGTTGGTTTATTTCTGTGCTTCTGGATCTTCCTTAAAATTGCTGTTGAATTAAAGAGAACCACACCAGCTGCCTTCTCTCTGTGGCCAATATTGCCCATCAGCTTTAACGTTAACCTGAAAAATAATGAATGTGAATTGGACCTCTGAAAGCTTACTAAAATATTTTTATTAATTTGTTTTATTTTAGTCTCAGATGCAAACTTCAGTGGGAATTGTCCCCACACAGGCGATCGCAGCGGGCCCCACTGCAGATCCTGAGAAACGCAAACTGATACAGCAGCAGCTGGTTCTACTGCTTCATGCTCATAAGTGTCAGAGACGAGAACAAGCGAACGGAGAGGTTCGGGCCTGCTCTCTCCCACACTGTCGAACCATGAAAAATGTTTTGAATCACATGACACATTGTCAGGCTGGGAAAGCCTGTCAAGGTAAGTGCCGTTTTCTGAAATCCTGGTGGCCTGGCTTAGGATGAAATGTGTCCGGCATTCTTCGGGAGCTCTCTTGTTAGTAAGGTTCCTGCAACCTCCGCCTCCACACACCAACCAGGCACAGGCCACTGGCACGCTTACCTGCTCAGGAGAACGGTGGTTTGGTTTCCTAATACTCTGTGAGCTTCTGCTGGATGAGGCTGTGCCCTGCCTTTGTTCTCTTCCGCTTTCCTCTGTCACGGAAGACATTTGTCACTTCTTGAGCACTGTCTTTATCATAAATGTCTAGAGCACGGTTTTGTTTTGGGTAGGATGGCACAGGCGCGTGTGCGCGCAGCCCTCCCTGAACCTAGAGCATCTGTCTTGCAGCTGTTTCCTGTGTTCTGACTGCCGGGGGCCCCTGCCTTGCTCCTCCACCCTTTCATCTTGAGGCCGTTCAGGATACCAGCGACGTTGTCCTGGGCCACGATCCGTGACACGGGGAGCCGTGTGCACCGTATCATCCCTGTCACCTCCTTCCTTCTCCTTGAGAAGGGGGTGAATCCTTTCCCCTCTTCTCTGGCAGACACCTCAGGTCTACAGAAGAAAAAGTTTCTTACTAACAACTATACTTTGATCTTTATCCTCCTCCTTTCTCTTCTTACTTGTGCTCCTAGACCTTGGGGAGAATCTCTCCCTGACCTCCCTCTCTCTCCCTTTGTGACATTTGTGAGTCCCCAGCATAACCGTGATCCTGATGGAGAAACAGAAGAGGGTCATGCTAGACCTTTAGAAAGAAATCACAGTGCCTCGGTATGGAGTGAAAATGAAGACTCAGAGTAACTGCTAGGTTCAGTCACCCTCTCACGTACTTAGAAAAGTGCCCGGCGTCCCCTTTAGAATCTCCCCAGACTTCTCATTTGCTTCTCTGTATGTATTTCTTGAACTATGGTGTTGAGATGGTTTCATCCTTCAACATAATGTAGAATTTTTATTTTCAATAGTGACATGACATAATTATTATTTGTCCTAACTTTCATTCCAGTTGTTCAGTATTTCAAGTCAGATAGTTTTTGTTATGTTTTGTTTTTGTTTTGTGGGCCGAACCTTAATCACCATCATCCATGACATTGCTTCTGTGGGAAATTTGTGTTTAGAATTCTCAACAGTCGACTTACAAACGTTTTGGAAAACATGCTGTTTGTAAGTTGAGGACTGCCTGTACTGTGTATGGTTACACGTGTTACCATTTTCTTATGGAATCTGGCATTATAATTTAGGTGTAATTGAAAGTGTGACGATCTGGATAGAAAAATAACATCTCGTTGTTTTTCTGGTCATAGTTGCCCATTGTGCATCTTCACGACAAATCATCTCTCATTGGAAGAACTGCACACGACATGACTGTCCTGTTTGCCTCCCTTTGAAAAATGCCAGTGACAAGCGAAACCAACAAAGTAAGTGAGCATTGGGGGTAGAGAAGCTCGGAGGTGAGAACAGCTACTTGGAAAGAGAGTGCGGGAGAGGAGGTAGGAAGCAGGGCAGCGATCTCGAGCCCAGAGGCTAGCGGTGAGCAGAGACACGGAGATGGAGCTGCACCGAGACACCAGGGGGAAGCTGAGCTTAGCAAGAGATGGATTCTTAGTGTGCACAGGACCACTTTGGGATCCGTCCCCACCCCTGCACACACACACACCAGAATTGGCAGCAGCGGAGCAGAGCAAAGGAGGAGGGTCGCTGTGACTGCAGAGCGGACGTGACGAGGCTTCCTTTGTCTTGACAGACACTCAGTATCTGAGGATTGAATGTCGCGTCACTATAATGGCAGTGACTTCCAAGGGGGCGGGGAAGTAGAGGGGACACTTACTTTGGAATTGAAACGCCTTATCCTAAAGTAAGTTTGGCGAGGGCTGTGCTATGGAAGTGTCAGGCAGGCAGGGTCAGTATAAAATGCCACATGTAGACACTTGAGAGGTTTGCCCTCCTCCATGCAGAGGCGGTTCCCAGACCTGTTTGTGTAACTAACGATTTATTCAGCACAGATTGAGAGTGTTTGCCCGAGGACTGGCCGCATCCTGACCATTCCCATCGTTTCGTTGTCTTTCAAGCCATCTGTGTAGCCCTTAGCTGGTCAGCGGAGCCAAGGCCCCTGCTCAGGAGGTCTGAGTGTGGCTCCCTGAGGGATCCCTGCCCTCGTGGGCATCAGAGCAATGAAAGGATGAGCATCTCTTCCAGTTTTAAGTCCTTTCCTGTCACTTCAGGGGTAAAACTGTGGTCTTGGTGTGTGTCCCTCAGTTGGGACAGATAGGACGTGCCCTCCGGTGTCGTGTGACCCCTCTGGCTGGAGCTGCTCCCTGCGACCTCCAGCACCACACAGTCTTGCTCATCTTCCTCCATCTTGTCTGGGCCATCTTGTTTGTGGTTGTGTGTTCGTTGCTCTCATCCTTCTTGATTATCTGCCTCGAGACCCCACGGCTGCCTGGAGGGCCTGTGCAGCTGTCTCTGTGTTCGTTTCCTTGGGGCCCGGGGCACGGCGGAAAGCACGCTGTTCCTGAGAGTGCTGGGGTGCCGCACCAGTGACTCCGGGGGTGTCCCTCCCGAGTGGGCAGCCGCTTGTGGGTCCGTCGTCGTCCCTCCCTGCAGAAGGACTCACACTGCGTTTCCTTTGAAAAGGCACTTTCCTAAATCAGTTTAATTTTTCTTTGACCACAGTTGGAATTAATATATTTTTCCAGGACCTCTCTTACATGAAGTGAAGTTCTAGGAATCTAGGTCTTTCAGAACCATGTATTTGGGAGAGTAGTTCTGTTGGTATAAGCCTGTTTTTCCTCACAGTTAGTGTGAAACTATTTTTTTTAAACTAGTATATTGTGGTGGTTACATTTTCTTGTGTTTTAGGACGTGTTTCAGTAACAGGCTTTTTAAGTGCCAAAATATTCATTCCATGAATAATAAGTTAGGATTATATTCTGAACTTCTCATTTGGGGGTGTGGCTTTTCTGGGACCTTTTGTTTTTAGTATGTGTTGCCATGACAGTGTTAAACTTTGGTGATTTCTCTTTTTAAGAAACACTTATGTGGTTTTTGTTTTAAAAAAGAAAAGAAATATATGTGGGTTTATTTTTTTTTTTTTTCCCTCAACATCCTTATAACTGCCTGAATGTTGTGACAGTTGATCCAGTGCGTGCTCTGAAGTGGTAAACCACAGTGTTTCCACTAGTCATAATGTAAGGTGTCACCAGGGTGATTTTATAACGTCAAGTCACCGGGAATATTTAGATTAACTTTATACCAGGTTCTGGTAACTTTTTTGTAAAAGAAATGAAAGCACTTATGTAAGAAATGGTTAAATACTCTTCAAATTAGGTTTCGGCCCTGAGTGTGCTCTTTTGGCTCTCTCTCGCTCTGGTTTTCTGAGGGCAGGAGGTTGATGTGGTGAGTGAGAACATTCCAGCAGTGTGCTTCTATAAGCGTCTACTCTTCCTCTTCTCCTGAAGCAGACTGTGATGGTGGTGTGTGCCCACGGGGGTTCGGCAGCAGGGAGAAAGTGTGGGTCCAGCCCTCCAACAGCTTCAAGTCAGGGGCCAGAGTCAGAAGATGTACACAGCAGCGAGGTGACAGTCGTGCCACAGGAAGGAATGAGCTGGAGGCGAGTCCTGGGGGAGGACCCGGAAGACCCGTGTGTGCTGGAGGCTGGGGCTTGATGGAACCCCATTCCAGTACAGTAATGATGGAAGGACACCACACAGTACAGTGTCTGCACAACCAGCATGGAGTCAAGTTCCTGTGCAAGCGAGGGGATTCGGGGAGGGAGGGAGTGTTTGTGGCGAGAGGTTGGGGCCCCTGGGGTTGCCGGGAGACTCCCGGTGCCTGCCGAGGCCGTGATTTTCTGGCAGGTTTCCTGCAAGTGCTCACACCCTCCACGGCCTCACTTCCTCCGTGGATGTCTCTGCTGAGAGACCCTACTGGCATCATCCGTGGAACTAAGCCACTCCATTGGTTACCTTTCTGGCCTGTGTTGAGATTTTGTTCGATGTTTCTTTGTTTTCTTGAGATTGTGTTATCACTGATCTTGAGCTATCCCTCCCTTAGAGAGATAATCAGATTTTATTGAATAGTTAGGACTTTTCAAGGTATACACTTAATGTCAGTTCTGGCATCTGACTTCCAGAAAATTCCAGTGTGCAGGGCTGTGTGGACACAAGACCTAATTCCTTATGTGAACCCCTGTTGCCTCATCAATGGGGTTCTTGCTACCAGGCTACACAGGCAGAAATGCAGAAAGTCAAGCCCCATCTCAGAAGTCCTAGGTGATCAGTATGCACAGTAACAGCTGAGATGCACAGCCCTAGAGAATGCCTTGAAGGGCTGTGTGTTTGTCCCAAGCTCTTGAGACGTTTCGAGTCACTCTGGGGAAATCATGGGTTTCCCAGCTCAGAATCCCACAAGAACGGTCAAAATCAGTGCCGCGGGATCAGCTTCCTCCTGAGACCAAACGCAGTCGGTGCCCACAGCCGTCTTAGATGCGGGCTGAGCCCCGCAGCATGACGATGGGGAGTGTCTGAGTCAGTAGTCCTCTGGTCCGGCACTTGAATACCTCCATGGGCTTGACCCTTACTACCTGGTCTGGCTGTCCCAATTTTAAGCACCTGTGATTGTGAAGTGCCTTCCTTCATGACGTGAGTCCAGATCTACCTCCTTAGAGCTTCTGCTCATGGAGCAGCCTGCTCCGGTGCTCAGTAAGGATGTGTTGAACAGGTCCTTGTTCCACCTGAGAGCCCTTCAGAGACTCTCAGATGCCTCTTCTGACGGCCTGTGCCTGGGATGCGGAGCAGAGGTTGCAGTGGAACTTGAATGGCTGTAGGGGTAGAGCTGTAGGCTTGTCTGCCCCTAATTTAAGTATCCAGCAGTCAGTGGTGATGTATTTCATCAACGTAGCTTTTGCCTTGCTCTTCTGGGTCCCACAGTGTTGCCCCTCCTGAGTCGTTTGGCTTCTGAAGAAAACCTGTTGCACGCTTATGTGTTCTTGCTCAGTGGTGGCTGTGCTGGAGGTCCAGCCCTGGGGCTTAGGTGTTCTTTCTTGTCTGCCCTGCACCATGTGCAGGAAGATGCTGGAGGGGCACCGGGTCCCCTCCGTTGGTAGAACATGTGACTCTTGAAATTGGGTTTGTGAGTTCGAGCCCCATGTTGGGTGTAGAGATGGCTTGTAAAAAAAAAAACCAAAGAGGATGCTGGAAAGGAAGGCCGTCATGGTGCACGCAGCACCTGGGAGGCACAGAGGTGTGGGGGCCACTCTGCAGAGACATCTGCAGGTCTGAGTTAATTCCAGCATGACTTTTTTCAGTAGAAATCGGTGACTACTTAGTAGCTCCTTTGCCTGCTTCGTGGTAAATCTCCCACTGCGCTGACAAAGCTTTGAAATTTAGTTTGTCCATTTTCATTGGATTTTCATCTCGAGTCCAGTTTTACTGAGAACGTCTGGGGACTTGAATTTTCGCAATGTGCTCTGGACGCGGGACCTGTTAGTGGAGCAGTCTCCATTCTCTCAGTGGAAGGACATGAAAAGTGGCAGGTGGGTCCTGAAAAGAGCCCACTAGAAAACTTGGCCTTTTATTTCCTAGGTCACGGGCTCCCAATTTAGCTGCAGCAGGGGGGTGGTGAGGCGGTGGAGACGTTGGGGTATCTTGAAGATGTGCTGCTGGTGGGAATGCCACTGACCCGGAGGGAGGAGAGCCACACTGATGGATTGAGACACTGTGTGAGGGGACAGAGACTGGGTACGAAATAGAGCATTAAGCTCTAAGAAAGGAAAGAAGATGTAAAACTGGGAAAAAGAACAAGAGGTTTTGACATTTAAAGAGGTAAATGTCGATAATGTTTAAAACTGAGGAATGCAGAAGGCGTTGTTCTCAGTGATGCCAGATAAATGAGCGTTGCTGCCTTTAGCACTCCTTGATTTTGTTCAACCCCAAGGCCTGCGGTGCTGCATGCCGGGAGGGCCCTGGGAAGGCCAGTCGCTCTGCCACCTGCCACAGCTCCCTGAACTCCGCAGGGGCTTTCCGGGGCTGTGTGCTCGGCACCGTGCTCCGCCTGCAGACTGGAGCCCCTTGCTGGTCCTGCCTTCAGGGAGTATACAGGGATGATGGGATGAGCATGGTTTTCTCCTTCCCGGGTCTGGAGCTGCTGTGACTTAGGGGATTATTAGGTTAATGCGTTCTGTCTCCCAGCTGCCCCTGTGCCCCAAGTGCAGACTTTGTGCTCCCATCCTGGAACCTCTCGGAGCGCCCCACAGAGTCCGCATGCACTCCACCTGTGGACTGAGTGAGTGAGCGTGTGAGGTGGAAAAGGCCCAGAGAGAAGCAGCGGCCCAGTAGGCATTGTAGGAATGGCAGGAGGCCTTATTGCCACCCAGGAGATGAGGAAAACTTGTAGGAGACATGGTAGTGTCTTGGGCCTGCAGAACAGAGTTTAAACAGAGTTTCCTTTTACCTGATGACTCCTCTTTCATCCAGTCATCACTCCTATAGTAAACGTCTGCATTCCCTTACCCTGAGGTATTTGTGTCACCCAAAACTAGCATTTGTCATTTGGACTCAAATTGGACCATGCTTAAATGTCAGAGACCTTTTTTACTTTTTTGTGCTTTGTTTTCTGTGCCTCTGAATTGTTAGGATTGTCAAATACCAAATGCTTACTTGTCTCCTGGTGGATAATGTGTTGTTTTGTTATTTTAATTAAAAAACACCATAATGTTTATATGTAGGAATTAAATGCTTTTAACACAAATACAAATACAGTGACTGTGTCAGCAGCTTCCGTGGAGGCTCTGGCTTCCCCATAAATGGCCTTTGGCTTGGGAGTGGCATTCACCCTAAGGTGGGGCATTTTGATGGAAAGGATGGCATTTGGGGCTGGGTGGATGAAAGTGGAATATAGTAGGAAAAGTTGTTATTTCTTCACCCTGAAACAGAAGGCTACCTAGACACCTTCTTTCTTTAAATTCCTCTCCACAGTTCATCACTGTGTGTAGCAAATGTAGTCTGGGTCTGTTCTTTCTTAAACCCCAGTAGGTGATAGAAAAATAAACCATCCTACCATTATTGCTTTCTTTTTAACATCAGAGTGTTGTGTTTTGTTTTGTTTTTTAAGTAGGCTCCATGCCCAGTGTGGAGCCCAGTGCAGGCCTTGAACTCACGACCCTGAGATCAAGACCTGAGCTGAGATTCAAGATTCTGACGCTCAACCAACTGAGCAACCAGGCGCCCCTAACATCAGAGTTCTTTTAGAAAATCTGGCCTGTCAGTTTTAGGAATATGGTGGGCACATGTTGAAAGTTTAGGTTGGGGAGGGGGGAGTATTAACTATTAGAGAAAATACTTTTAAAGATATCATACATGATTTAAGCTACACGCTTGTCATAAAGGGTAGCTTGGGAATTGCTTTTCATTTATAATAATGAGGTGCTTGGTGTGTGTAATTGTGTCTAATGAGCGTTAATGAGTTTGAGATCTGAATATCCTTATTAGAAAAGTTAATAGTATGGAATGTGTAATTACCAAGATTTTTTTTTTTTACACCTTTAGCTTTAATTAAAATACTCTAAGTATGTGAGTTGTTTATGTTATAGTTGCATGGTTGAATGTGAGAATATTATCGTTACACGTAATTGTCGGAATATGAAAGGAAAGCTTTGTGATAGTGCTTAATGTGTCAAAGATCATATGTTACAGTATCAGTTTTATAAGCTACTGTTCATAACATGACTCTAAAATTTGGGGAAGTTGGAAAGAAGGGAAATCTTAATAAGAATAAATAGTAGGACATAAAGCTTTTGCCTTATGGTACGTGCTCACCAAATGAGGACATTCGGATGGTTGGACAGAGGGATGGATTGAACTTGAAGTGACCAAGGAGATGCAGATTTGGGGTCATCTCTGTTAAGTTTGAAGTCCTTGGGAATGGGGTTCTTTATGTTGCTCCAGATTTTCCTTCGGTCTTTTGGGATTGGCCCCGGTAGATGGTGGAGTACCAGGAGGGAGTGCCCTGCAAGCCATCAGTAGGCCGGGTAGTGGGCGTGGATGACTTCGTGAGGCTGTGCCAGTTCCTGAATCTCAGTGGTACTGAGGTGACGCCTGGATAAATGAAAATCCATGCAGAATCTCCAAGCCTCGTTCCATCCATTAATTTTAGCTAGATCAGTCAGTCAGGTACAGTATTTCTTGAGCAGCTTTAGATAGCCAGACGGCTTGGCATGGGGCCTTCCTGCATAGGAAACTGTAGGAAAGAAAGGTTTGGTGTTAATGCCATTGTACATATTAAGTTTTGAGGAATTGAAATTTTGTCGTTAGAAAGATTAAAGTCCTAGACTTATTAATTAATAAGTAACAAAACTGACCAACTAGGTGTCACCTCTGCCCCTTCTTTAATCCTCTGTACCTGTGCAGGTGAGCAGTGAAGGACCCCAGGGAAAGTGGCAGCCAAAGGGGGGCCCCTTTAGTTCATGTCAGTGATGGCAGTTGCTCCCCCAAATCAGAACACTTTCTGTTGTCACGTGTATGCCACTCCCCTGAAACAGAGTTGAGTCTCTAGAGTTCATACATAATTTTCATTAAGTGAGCTCTGATTTTGTGATCTGTTGGTTGTAAGATGAAAGCTTGAATTTCCTTCAGGTTTTTGCTCCTCAAGCGCTGCTGTGCAGAATAGGTGACTAGCTCAGGCCCCTTTTCTCTGCGCAGCTCCGTTCTCAGTAGCCTTGTTCTGTTGCCTTATGACATACGTAGATAGTTTGCTGATGAAATTGTACTGGCTTCTCAGTAGCTTGTCAATCATTTGTGGGCTTCTCCTTTTACTTAACTTTCTCGTTTGTCTGTCTGTTTGTTGTTTTAGCCATCCTGGGGTCTCCAGCTAGTGGGATTCAGAACACAATTGGTTCTGTTGGCACAGGCCAGCAGAATGCCGCGTCTTTAAGTAACCCAAATCCCATAGACCCCAGCTCCATGCAGCGTGCGTATGCTGCTCTTGGACTCCCCTACCTGAACCAGCCCCAGACGCAGCTGCAGCCTCAGGTTCCCGGCCAGCAACCAGCACAGCCTCAGACTCACCAGCAGATGAGGACTCTCAACCCCCTGGGTAGGTGAAGGAACGCTTGAGAACTTGTTTGTCCAATGCAGCAGTGGGAATGACAAGTCTTTCTGGAACCCAGGGCGGTTTACCATTACTGTTTTTACTTTAAATTCAAATTAATATATGTATAAATTATGATGAAGATAACTTTTAAGTGCTTGAAGTAAAGAACTTCCAGGAAAAGGCTACCGTGTCTGTTCAAGGAAGATGTTACAGGTTTGAGAAGAGAAGCATTTATAAAGGAACCAACATGAGATCGCTGTGCCGCTCCTGTCTGGACAGTTTTCAGAAGGGGCATTTCACATGACTCAGAATGTGGAATCTCACAAGTTAGAATTATGACTGTCCCACTTGTAGACCACTGCTCTGCTGGAGAACTCGTAGGTGGCCTGCCAGTTGCTGGCATGTCTTGGCCACGGGCTAAGCCACAGCTGGAGGCGAGCAGCCCACACAGGAGCGGCCTAGCAAGGAGTCTCCGCACATGCCTCCTGCCTCAGCCTTGTCCCAGGCACGGGGCTTCCTGCTCTCATCTGAGCTTGTCATTAGCCAGGGTTTGCTCATTCGCTCACACATCTCCATAGTTTCTGCCATCTCTGCATATTGTGTTTTTAACGTTTTTCTTTTAAATTGACACAGTGCTCTTAAAGTGAGCCAAGCAGGCAGTCAAGTGAAGTCAAGGTGGTTGTGCTAGTTTGGTTGTTTTCCTAATAAAGTACGTATTTTAACCTTAAAAATGACCCTTTTAAGGTTGACGAATTAAGAACATCTCATTCATTGCTTTTTGGACAAAACCGCCCTAATGTGTATCTAACTTCTAGTGGCCTTGCAACTGGGTTGGAGCCCTCAGACCTGAGTTGTAAGGTGGACTCTTACTCCTGTTTGAGGGTATAATTTGGGACAGGACTGTTAACCTCTCTGAGTCTCAGCTTTTTCTTACTTTAAAATGAATACTCTGCCCCTGAAACAAATAATACATAATATGTTAATTTAAAATTTTTTTTAAAAATAAAATGAATACACAGATGTTTTCACTTGCAAGTAATTTCTATGATTTTATTTTCTGATATGAAAAGAAAAGGTGAACACAAATCTTAGTGACAGGTCAGTTTAGTTGTTTAGGGCATGATATTAATGAAGCCAGAATAAAAGTCTGAAGCTTACAAGTAGATCATTTGTCCTTTTTTGCACAGCCACAGTGTCCACTTACGATACCAGATAGCCTCCACAGAAATGCTTGATTTTGGTTACAAAATGCAGTGAGAAGGAGTCTTACAACTGAATTTGTAGAAGTTGATTACAATTATTGAAAATACAGCTTGCAGAGTTCCTGCCATGGTGGCTGTTATTATAACTCCTAAGAATCACTTATGTGGTGACTTGTTTACGTTATCAGTACTTTGAAGTGTATATTATAATTTGGGACTTGGTTGATTTCTTTCTATCTTTAAAGGAAATAACCCAATGAACATTCCAGCAGGAGGAATAACAACAGATCAGCAGCCACCAAACTTGATTTCAGAATCAGCTCTTCCAACTTCCCTTGGGGCCACAAAGTAAGACCCGTGTTTGAATCAGCTCCTATCTGAGTGATGATCGCACATGAAAGTGGGTTGGGAATCACGAAACTGTGATAGTTTCTTAAATGTGTGACAGTGAAGATGGTATGGAGGGGGGTGCTTTTTTTAAATTATTATTATTATTATTATAACTATAGAGCAGATAATAAATTAAACACAGTTTTGGTTTTGTTGTATATTCGTCACTTGGCTGTCCTGAGTTTTTAAAAATCAAGTGTGGTTGAAAAACCTCATTAAATGAAGCGCATTTGTATCACTTCGGTAGGTGTAATGAGTATTCTTGTTCTTCCCCTAGCCCACTGATAAATGATGGCTCGAGCCCTGCAAACATTGGGACCCTCAGCACTATACCTACAGCGGCCCCTCCTTCCAGCACCGGCGTTCGGAAAGGGTGGCACGAACACGTCACTCAGGACCTACGGAGCCATCTAGTGCATAAACTGTACGTGCCTGCCTCCCCTTTATTCACATATGCTGGAAACATTTTGTGGCTGACAGCAGTGTGACAGTTTTGTAGTTTCACTGATGTCTGATTTAATTCCTGAGTGGTCCCCTGGGTCTCAGGTGACAGTGCCCTAGCAGCTGAAGAGGGTCACACGCTTGTTTAGGGAGCCACAGCCACTGCTGGCAGGCCAGAGAATCCCAGTTGGGGGGTAGTGTCAGAGCGTCCATGGCTCTGCCCTGCAGGGGATATGAACTGTCATCCATGTCACAGAGGTCAGTATTTCTAGTGTGGCCAGATCTCCTGTCCTCTGAGCTCTGACATGCAGCAGGGAGCTAGTGTTACCTCAAAAGCTTTGCCTTGTTTTATAGCTGAAGATTATAATCGTGGAGGCCCCTGAGAGCTGGGGGAATTTGGGCCTGGTGAATAGAGGGCAGGATAGCACCACATACAGTATGTTAACAGACAGGAAGTAAACAGTTAACTTTTTCGAGCTACTAAGTTAAATTGAAGGGGAAATTAGATGAGCTTAATTCCCTTGGAGTGTTTTTTTCCTTCATCTTTTTAGTGAAAACTATTTATGATAAATAGTTTAAAGATTAGGAGTTCCAGGGGCACCTGGGTGGCTCAGTTAGTTAAGTGTCCAACTCCTGATTTTGGCTCAGGTCATGATCTCAGGGTCAAGGGATCAAGCCCTGCATCGAACCCGATGTTCAATGGGGAGCCTGCTTAAGATTCTCTCCCTCTGCCTCTTCCCCCCCCCCCGCTCACACCCTCTCTCTCTCTCTTTCTCAAATAAATAAATATTAAAAAATTAGGAGTTTGAAATTGTATTATTCTTAAGATGACCTAGCACATTCTATAAATAGCAAAATATTAGTGTGTTTGACGTATAGATAAATTGACAGGTCAGTATTATTTCCAGAAAGTGATTTCATTTGTGTGTTCGCATACTGGGCAAGAGAGATTTGGCATTTCTCTCAGCAGTATGTTGTCCCCCATAAGTAGATGGTCTCATTTCTCTCTCTCCATGTCATCATGTATAAACTAGCAAGACACTGATGGTGTCTCAAAAGTCTGTTGACAGAACATTTTGTCCTTGCAGCGTCCAAGCCATCTTTCCAACCCCTGACCCGGCAGCCCTGAAGGATCGCCGCATGGAGAACCTGGTGGCCTACGCTAAGAAAGTGGAGGGGGATATGTATGAGTCTGCCAACAGCCGGGTAGGTTGCCATCCGTGTTCCAGCCGCACGACACCCACGTCGAAAGAACGGCATCTGTCTGGAAATGGGGAAATCTGTTAGTCAGGTAGACTCATCACCTCAAGGACACTAACCAGAGACGTCCCAGATAAGACAGCAGACCCCTGCACAGCTCTCTTGGTTGACGACACATGTCCACTACAGTGGTGAATGAGCATGTAAAATTGTGTTTTATCCATGGATGGACTTTACAGGGGGTGCTGTTTCTAGTGCTCGTACTGTGTTACTGCCAGTGTCGAATATCCAGGAAGTGATTCGACTGCGGAATGAAATGTAATGTGCATTTAGCGCCCCTTGTCTGATAAGTCCTATAATGTCACTAGGCGTTCAACAAGAAGTTGGGCCTTGGGTTTATCGGTTAGAAGTGCTGGATGCTGGGGCACCGGGCTGGTTCAGCTGGTAGAGCTTGTGACTCTTGATCTTGGGGTCATGAGTTCAGGCACCCTGTTGGGCCTAGAGCTTACTTAAAACAAAAAAACAACAGAACAGAAGTGCTAATACTTAATCTTTGCCAACGTACTTAATGTAAAAGTTCATTCGTTTGCTAAAACATATAAAACAGATTGGGTTTGGTTTTTTTTTTCCCCCGCACGGTTTTGGCTGCTTAATATTGAATGTTATTGCTCTTTAGGATGAATACTATCACTTACTGGCAGAAAAAATCTACAAGATACAAAAAGAACTAGAAGAAAAGCGGAGGTCGCGTTTGCACAAACAAGGCATCTTGGGTAACCAGCCCGCCCTGCCGACTCCCGGGGCGCAGCCCCCAGGGATTCCGCAGACACAGCCTGTGAGGCCTCCAAGTAAGGACTTCACCTCCTTCTGCCAGCCCTCAGTCTGATGGCTTGTTTTCCCTCTGGGTTTGGGGTGTGTTTCTAAGCCCGCACTTTGGAAGCTGTGTGATTGCGGCCATGGCCTTCCGCACCGGCCTGTTTCTCGCTCCATTTCACGGATGGGTCCCTTTCCCCGGTCTCACCTACACGAGCACTGTCAAATTCCTAGCGGCCTTCCGCACCGGCCTGTTTCTGGAGAGGCCTCGGGAGGGTGTGCAGGCGTCCGAATGCTCAGTGCCTTCGCACCTACTCACGGGTTTTCCCTTTAAGTTTGACGTTCTGAAGGTAAAATTCCTTGTTCCCAAATGAAGGATTATTTTAAATAAGCAGGTTTTTTCTGCCGTTGCAGATGGACCCATGCCCCTGCCGGTGAACCGCGTGCAGGTGTCCCAAGGTATTGAACCATTGTTGTGAATCATGTTTTGGTTTAACACTCAACAGCCGCAAAGCTGATTCGTTGATCCTCTTCTGTCTGCATCTCTTTGTAGCTCCTCGTTAGTCCCTCCCTCCTTCTGCTGGTGGTCGGAATTTACTTCCACAGGCAGTGTGCTTATATGTGATATTTGCAAGTTAGAAGACCATAGGAAAGCTCTCCCAGGACATCAGAAGCAGGGTTTAGCCTTTTTTTTTAAGATTTTATTTATTTGACAGAGAGAGACACAGTGAGGAAGGGAACACAAGCGGGGGGCGTGGAAGAGGGAGAAGCAGGCTTCCCGGCCGAGCAAGGAGCCTGATGCAGGGCTCGATCCAAGGACCCTGGGATCATGATCTGAGCCGAATGCAGACCTTTAACGACTGAGCCACCCAGGTGCCCCAGCCTTTTTTTTTTAATGGACAGGAAGGGATATTATTCTTTGGAAGAGTCTCCTCCAAAAGCCTCATTGGTGGGGGCAGGAAACCTGTCGGAAGGCTGTGAAGGAGAGCGTTGAGCCGGACTGAAGAGGGTTTGTGCTCCTCCTTGGGTTGGGGTGTGCTGGCAGCAGCCTGAACCACTTTTAAAGGCTCTTTCTCAAGTTGAGATTCTATGGTGTCTCTGGTTGAAACACTCATTGGAGTTTGGGAGAGGAGCATTTCAAGGCTTTTACGGATCTTGTCACATCGAGACTTGAATAACGGGACGTTTTTATAGGTTGTGAAATAAGGTGGCGACATTATCCAGGAGATTCCAAAGCAAGGCCTTGCTGCTGTGTGCAGAGTAGAACGAGAGGGGAGAAAGGGTCATTTTAAAAGTTGTGGTAGTGTTGAGGTTATGAATTTGAGCCCCACACTGAGTGTAGAGATTACTTTCAAAAGGTAAATAAAAAACTTCTAAAAAGTTCTGGTAATCTTAATTGCATACTGAAGAGACACGATAGGTCACCTGATGTTTGGGAGAAACTTCAGGGCCTTGTTTTGATGGACAGACTAGATATGAGAGTGAAGGAAACCAGGAAGTCAGGAAAATGGAGCCTTGAGAATGTAGCTGAATGCTGCGTAGGGGATGACATGGAAGATGGGGCTGATTTGGGATGTGAGGAGGGCTGTCAAGCAGGGTATTGAAGGAGTTTTATAGCAAAACCCTCATAGCTCCCTTACAAGCACATCTCCGTCTGTAAAGAGGGGCTCTTCGTGGTGCTGTTTCTCAATACTGCCTTTTTCTCTTATATAAAATCCTCAAGGAGAGGGGGAAGCTTACAGCCTTCGTAGAAAGTCTTCCTGGGCCCGTGCCGGCACTGGTTTGTTTTAGAGTGACATTTCTAGGTGTCCTTGAAGGTAATGCTGAGGGAGGCACATGTTCTCTGAGACCTTCTCACGCCTGTGCCAGTGTTAAGACGGCACCTCAAGGATTCTGTTAGATTCCCAGCGTCAGTCCTAAGACTTGCTTGAACCAGCACTGATGTAGAGCTTTACATGTAGGTGTGGAGTTTACAGAGTAAGGTGGGAAGTGAGGAAGAATGAGACGCCGTGGTCCGGAGACGCGTAGCAGCCAGTGAGGTGTCTTTCATAGTGTGACATTCCTGTGGGCTTTAGACAAAACCCCTGGAAAGGGGAAGATAGCCACGAAAAGGGGAGCTTGCCAGTCTGGAGAGAGGAGGTTGCGATTGAGAATTGCTCACCCTTGGGCACTTTCTAAACACTTTACATGCTTGCAAAATTAAAACCATATTTCGAGTCTTATCCCAGTTTCTAACAATAAATGTAAACCCAGCCGAAGAGCCAGGAGGCCTGGGATGATGGGGCAGGCCTTCCTGCAGGAGAGGAAAAGGGAGCCATGTGCTCTGGAAGGTGTTGGGGAGGTTGGCTCAGATGGGTGCCCTGGCCTTAGCCAAGACCTCCTCCGTGGAGGGTAGGAGCGCCTTCCTGGTGCCACCTCGTTCATTGGTGGTTGACCGGACTTTCTCCCTTCGTCTCCTCATGCTGCCCTGCCCCCACCCCACCAAACCACTCTCACCACCGCCACGTCGGTGCCATTTTTCTGTATTTGAAAAGTGTTACATCGCCATCTTTTCTGGTTTCCTGGGTGATTTCTGTTGTATGTCTTGCATATGTATTCCAACTTATTTTGCGTAGAGTTTGGTGAGCTGTAGCTCTGTTTTCCTGTGGGTGCTTTTTCTAATGAATCATTGTGGGTGCATTTACAGGGATGAATTCATTTACCCCAATGTCCTTGGGGAATGTACAGTTGCCACAAGCTCCCATGGGACCACGTGCAGCATCCCCCATGAACCACTCTGTCCCGATGAACAGCATGGGCTCCGTTCCAGGGGTAAGTGCTTCTCTTTGCTTCAGCTGTGCTGAGAGGACCTTGCTCGAATAAGGAAAATTCTCTACGCAGTGAAATTGAGATTGTGCTTGTTTCTCTGGATTTGGTTCTGCTTTATTTACTTCATATCTCTCTCCCTCTCTCTTTGGTCTTCATGACTACAAATGAGAATTATATGACCATTGTTTATTTTTATTGGGATGATAAATTCATAGGAACTTGTGACTTTGTGAGAAGACACAAGTTCTGAGGTTGGAGTAGGCAGTCTCAGATATGTCGCCGAGAGATGCTTGACAGCGTCTCTTGACTCCTGGAGCTTACTCTCCTGAGGCTGCTTTCTTAACACGTCAGAGAAGTTGTGAAAGGCATATTTTGAACTTTAAAGTATAGCATGCTATTGATCTCTATTCAGAGATGAATTTGAAACTGGCTTCTTGGAGACGTTGTATGAGAAAGCACGCAAAGTGCCTGGGAGCTGGAAGGTCTTCGTGGTGGTTCTCTTGCCACAGGGAAGGGAGGGTTCAGAGAGTTCTGTCTTGAAGACTCTGGTCCTCATCCTCCGATCTCTTGATGATGCTTGTCTTTTAGATGGCCATTTCTCCTTCCCGAATGCCTCAGCCTCCGAACATGATGGGCGCTCACGCCAACAACATTATGGCCCAGGCGCCTGCACAGAACCAGTTCCTGCCACAGAACCAGTTCCAGTCCTCCAGTGGGGCGATGAGCGTAAACAGTGTGGGCATGGGGCAGCCGGCGGCCCAGACAGGCGTGCCACAGGTACTGCGCACCCGGGTCGGGGCCCCAGCTTCCTCCTGATTAGAATTCCAGAATACACATCTCATTATTACACATGAGCATCTCTTGATTTTTTTACCCCCATTTTGTTGTTATTTTTACCTTCTTTAGAATTACTCTTATCATCTCTGGGCGAACTTCATACCAAAGTGGAGTGGATTGTGGTTTTTTGGTTCATAGGCTTTGTGTTTTGGGTTTTTGGGTTTTAGTGGTCATTTTCTTGGTTTTTATTGGTGTGTTTTAAATTCACATGTGATCCTGAGAGACCTTGAGTATTAGAGAGTGAGGACAAGGCCCCATGAACTCGGCTGGCGACTTGGTTGGTGTGTCCTGTTGCCCGTCTCTCTGGGCATCCTGGGTGAAGTCCGCTAACTGGATCGATTGAGTAGTTCTCTTGTCAAATTTGTTTTTAATGATGCTGTTTAAAGCTGAGGAGAACTATTTTCCATTCATTTTAGTGCCTTTTTTCCCACTTTGGAGAACTGTTAATTGTCGGGCATGGAGTTGCTGCTGTATACACATGGGCATGCATTTAGAACAGGCTGGATCTTCCCCTGGAAGACAATATTCTGTTCTCAGTTTTTACATGAAGTAATGTTGAAAAAAGTCATTGACTGTGTTTGATTTACTCACTAAATATTTACTAATTCTTCATTTCTGTAACACACCGTTGTTCTGGAACAGCAGACCTGTTCCTGTTTATACTTCCGACTCTTTGAACTCCTCGGCCTCATTGTTGTGGAGCTGCCAGGGGCATAGTCGTTCACACGTAAATGAAGGGGCGTGGCTGTGTTCCAGACTTGCCTACAGGAACAGGCAGCTAGCTGGATTGGGCCCTGACCCCTGTTCTAGAGCAGTGATTTGGAATCGCTTTTTTAAGAAGTCCACAAATAATTGTGAAGCATGTCCCCATTTGGGAATCACTTTATTGAAACATTTCAGTGTTTCAGTAACTCATTTCTTGAAAAAAAGAGAAATACCTTTTTCGGTGGTCTAAGTGGGTAGATGTTTTGGAGCATGAAGCTTGTAAAGCTGAGTGGATATGTATTAGTTTAAGCCAGAGGTTTCAACAGTTCTGTAAATCACAGGATGAGAAACATTGCATTGCATTAACTTTACTGGAAAGTGCATGTTATTATAAGTGTACAGCTGGGTGAGGTTTTACAAATGGCACATGCCCTTGAAACGAGCAGACCTCACCAAGAAACCGTGGTTAGATTTTCATGCGTTTAATTCTTTAAATCTGTTGGGGAAATAATTTTAACATCCTCTGTTGGCTCTGTTAGGGACAGGTGCCTGGTGCCGCTCTTCCTAACCCTCTGAACATGCTTGGGCCCCAGGCCGGCCAGCTGCCCTGCCCACCAGTGACACAGTCACCGCTGCACCAGACGCCACCTCCTGCTTCCACGGCTGCCGGCATGCCATCTCTCCAGCACCCGACGGCGCCTGGGATGACTCCTCCTCAGCCAGCAGCCCCCACCCAGCCGTCGACTCCCGTGTCGTCTTCCGGGCAGACTCCCACCCCGACTCCAGGCTCCGTGCCCAGTGCTAGCCAAACCCAGAGCACCCCTACGGTCCAGGCAGCAGCCCAGGCCCAGGTGACCCCACAGCCTCATACCCCAGTCCAGCCCCCGTCTGTGGCCACCCCTCAGTCGTCACAGCAGCAGCCGACACCTGTGCACACCCAGCCTCCTGGCACACCGGTGAGCCCCGCAGTCTGTCTTTGGGCTGAAGCTCCTGATCGAGAACTTCTCCGTAAAAAAAATCCTGTCACAAAGTTGTCTTAGTGTCTTGGCACAAGCCCAGAGAGTATCTGTCCCCTAATCAAACCATAGGAGCTGTATTTTGTCCCTGACATTGGCTCCAAAGGCCATGTTTGTGTTTGGCCGGATGTGACTTAAGATTATCTTCTCTCATTAAACGAGTTTTTAGAAATTAGCAGTTATAAAGAAATCATACGTGGGTCCTCTGTCTGTACATAGGAGCCGTGTGTTCCCCATTATCTGTCCTAGGTGGGTGTCCTCTGAGTGTTAGTAGTTTTTCTCTTAACATTCTGAGGATGTGGTAAACAAGTCACGTTCCTAATTGTATGTGCTTTGACTTTGCCTGTCAGCCTTATTTTCAGACCTGGAGCCTATTCTTCTCACGACAAAATGGCAGACCCAGGTTAGCGCTTTCTGTGGCTCATGTCTGCCCAATCCTCCGTGGACCTGCTTGCTGGCCGTGCCCAGCTGTAGGCTGCCCACTCGCCACCCCCCGCACCCCTGCCCCAGTTGCCACTGAAATCTTCACCTCTGTTTTCATATCATCCTGACTTAGAAACCACCCTTCCCCCTGAAATACATTAACTTTATTCTTAGGGACTGAGGATATTTATTTATAAAATATCAAAATAAATCTTAACAACACCCCCAAGATAACATTACCATATGTATTTCTCTACAGGAAGTATGTTTATTATTTATCCTTATTTTATATTTCTTATTTTTAAATAAGATTCCTTTGTAATTTTATGTTCCCTTTTGTTTACTTAAATTAGAACTCTGTGAGGCAGGGGTGCCTGGGTGGCTCAGTCGGTTGAGCGTCCGACTTGGTTTCGGCTTAGGTCGTGATCTCAGGGTCTTCGGGCTCTGAGCTCAGTACGGAGTCTCCTTGTCCCTCTCCCTCCCCCTTTTACCCCTCCGCTGACTCATGAATGCTCTTGGGCTCACTCTCTCTCTAAAATGGTTAAATAAAATCTTTAAAAAAAACAAAACAAACAACTATGAGTAAGGCTTTGAAAATTGAGAGTTCTTGTGGTGGTTCCTTACCTTGATGTTTGCTTACTCCACCTCCACCACCACCACCCCTGCCCCTGCAGTTATAACAGGCTAATTACACATTCTTCATGTAGGCACTTCATCCCCCTTCTACATGTACACTTCTGTATCTGCAGTTAAGCATTTTACAATAAACTGTAATGACCTTATTGGAAGGAATTAATTTTAAAATAGGTGGTTCTGTGACTTAGGTAGAAACTTCCAGAAAATAGTCTTATATCAAAATGTGGAAAGCCCTACTCTTCCATCTCTACATTCTTGGTAGGAAGTTCTTTGTGTTTCTACATGAAGTTGACTTCCCCTGGGACTCCTGTCTTAAATTTTCTGTTCTTTAGCTCTCTCAAATAGGGCTGTCTGTTAGGTTAGTGTTGAGAAATGTTAACATGAAACTGTGTTTTGGGTGAACAATAGAGTTTAACAGCATTTCTGTTGTCTTAGTAACGGAGATAAATAATTTTCGTTTCTCCACAGCTTTCCCAGGCAGCTGCCAGCATCGATAACAGGGTCCCCACTCCTTCCTCGGTGGCCAGCGCTGAAACCAACTCCCAGCAGCCAGGACCCGATGTACCAATGCTGGAAGTGAAGACAGAGGTCAAGACTGAGGACACTGAGCCTGATGCCAGTGACTCCAAGGGGGAGCCTGGGTCTGCGGTAGGTGCCATTCCAGGGCGTGAGCAGATGCGCAGCACGCAGAAATGTCACTCAGGTGTGCTAAGGGGAGACACCACGGGTCCTCCGTGGATGACGCTGCTTTTTGCTTTAATACCCTGTTTGATTATGGGTTCAGAGAGGATAGAGGTTAAAAATAGAGTGGTTATTTTTAGGTATTAGGTATGGGTTTTACTTTATTTTGCCAGAAATAAGAGTACTGGTTTATATTTTAAATGACTGAATCATCCCGTGACTTTTCACTGACGTTCTTCGTTCATACGTAGTTCTGCAGCATTGGACTGCACAAGGGTGTGCTCGTTCACTAACCTGTGGCAAAAGTTGAAAACTGGATCCAGCCCCATAGACATGTTCTGTTTGACCCACACAATATTTTTAAAAACGAGGAATTACAAATCAAACTCTGAATTTCTGGCTTTTCTTTGAAAATGAGAAGCTCTGTCAGCATTGTGCTTGCATTCCTGTGGCAGCAGTCTGGGTGGGAGCCTCAGCTGGGGCTTGGGCTCCCCAGTTTGCCCGAGTCCCCATTCCTCCCTGCTGGCTCTGTGACTTCACCT